AGTAATATTCAATAACAAATAATAGACAATGTCGGATTACAAGGGGGGCCGGATTAGACAGGGGCCGGATTACCGCGGGTCCACTGTACTAAGATAATAATAGTGAAAATTATTTCCACCTAGCGTACAAACGGGATGATAAAAAAGCCGGGGCTGGCCAGAATATACACAACTGCGACTTCCAGCATCCACCACCAGCCGGCAAGGTCTGCGATGTCGACATCAGCACTTGGGGTCCATGCGTCGAAGGAAATCATTTCGCATATCACAAGTCCACGCCATGCGTCTTTCTCAAACTCAATAAGATATTCGCGTGGAAACCACACTTCTACAATAGCTCGGACACTTTGCCAACGGCCATGCCTGAAGACTTGAAGAATCATATCAGGAATTTGACTGCTCATGATAAGAATTATGTGAGTTTAACTCCAATATATTTTCTTTAAAAAAAGTTAGATCTTATTTCGTAGTCAGGTAGTCAGGTGCACGATTTCTCTAACTACTCACTACTCTTCTATTTCCAACATACAACATCAGATGTATAGATAGTGCCGAAACCTAACCATCGCTACTGGTAACATTATATCTATTGGTGATCAAACTCAGACTGTTATTGATCAACAACCAGATACTCGTATATTGTATTATTGTAAGTACTAAGTATATGCCGCGTCTACCTTGCCACCCTTGCCATTATAGGTTAAATCCCCCTTATGGGGAAAAAACCCGCAACGCCCCGGGTTTTTTATTATGGCTGTGACTGTTATAATAGATGAGTGTTGACGCAACGTCGACCAAGCGGCCCTTTAAACCTGCACCTGTATCATAGATTCCTGAAATTGGACGGAGTTTACCTCTCTGCCACACGTTGGACCCGGCTCCCGCACAGTGAATCTAATCAGTGGGAAGCTAAGAAGTTCATCGGTCTTGTAGTGTTGTAGCTTGGTATAGCTACGAGTATATGCTACTGAGTATCATAAAATAAGTAGGATTAAATTGATTATTGAAACATTTATTGGGAATTGACTGTTGCACCTATCCATGATTTCAGCTGAACATGGTGTGGGTTTCTTGCGAAGGTGAAAATCCTGCGGACAGGGAGAACATTGGTCCAATTCAGTATCTACCGAACAGAGGTTTCCCTGGCTACTACTTTCCGTACACCAATCAAGAAGGCTACCTCAGTCCCCTGGTCGCTGTACACCTACAAAGGCCGAAAAGTAAGATTAACTTTTAACTTTCCACAATTTAGGAGTGGAATTCTCTCTCAATAAAAGAATATTTACTATAACAGATGGGAACATCTTAGATGATGAGTGAGCTCAAACACGTTAAAATTTCATAAATAAAAAAGAGTTGTGCGTAATATTTACAAAACTTATTACTTGAAATATTTTACCACGCGCAACCACATTATCAGCTCACAGCAGCAGTAATATTTCCGAACTAATACTATATTGAAACCTTTGAATCGGCCCATATTCCTTCTGGATGAGCATTGAATTCACTAACAAACAATTCATAATCACTCAGCTGGCCAGTTGTTCCGCGGACTCGTTTGTCCATGTTATAAGAAAACCTATAATCAGATCTTCGTCGATTTTATTTTATGCTACTGAAAGAATAGAAGTGAAACTGGCAAACAAAATGATAAACCCAACCCCCAACTAAATTTTGCGATCACACTAAAATCACTAAGTAAAGAAACAAATCAACACAACCAGATTCGTCTTGGAGAGGGATCTCATTGGTTCCTCCTTTCATGTAATCCTATTCATGTCTATGAGAGATTTTTCTATCTAAAAAGTGTATTCTTTTTGTTTTATTATTCATTGCACAAAAACACGTGTACAAAGGCGAGCTTAATGCCATATGGCATTCTTCATTCCCACTAAATATATTATACATAAATACCAATTGAAGACTTGTTTTGATTATTTATATCCTGTAATTCAGTAGAATTGTAACTAATGATTTCCATTTATGCAGCCGGAATGTTGATCAACATAGAGTGTCGTGCGTGGGCGCACAATATCATGTACGACAGGCACGAGGGAATGGGCACCGTCCATATAGAGATCATGATCGAGTAGATGCCAACAGAACAGTAAGGCTAAGCGGATACAGACCTGTAGACGAAGCGCAGAATGGTACAACACTAGCAGAATTTAGTTAAAGCAGATATAAACAAGAGACAAGACCTTTAGACGGAGCGCAGAATGATACAACATTATCAGAATTTATTAATTAAAGCAGATATAAAAAAATACTTGTGGTGATACAGATATATGAAAGAAATACAACGGCTAGTGAACCAAAATTAATTTTATCTAAATTATTAAAAAATACTCTTGTTGTTGATCGATAAAGGGTTATGACAGAAACCGATGACTTATTAAAGCCCCCTTATGCCATATTTTACAGTCTTTTTCTTCGAATCGATTATTACACATTGGACAATGTTCACACTTCAAAAATTTACATTAACTTCAAATTAAGTTTAAGTTGGTTTAGGCAATAAATTATTCCAAACGGACATACCTGTTGTGCCTTAATTCACAGTCTTTTTCTTTGAATTGATTATTGTACAATTAATTATAGTACTTTAAAAATTTTTACCAATTTCAAATTAAGTTTAGATTAGATTCTTGCAAATATGTACTGTTAAAACAATCCTAATATCAGCAGGAGATCTTAGCTAAATCAATGTTTATTAAATCCCCATTGTCTTGGGCACTGCCAAAACGTATATATTTGTGTTCATTGATACTTTGAAACACTTTGCAGTATTATATCAGGCGCTGATTTCTTTTTTTTTTTTTTTGTTATTTTTAATATTGTTGTATTGTTTTGGCATTGTAAGATGTTATTTTACAATAAACTAATTACATTATTATTATATATACTAATTAATACATTGAGCAGTCAAAGTTGTTTGTAAGAATCCGCCATTTTGATTTGAAATGAAAACGAACGTGTATGTTCCATTATATTGTTAGAAAGAGTGAGATTAATGATTTATGTAATTTATTCAAATAAACATAGTTTGAAACGTTTTTTGTTTATGTTTCTTTTTTTTTTAATAATTTGAATGTTAAGCGATAACTATAGCCTATATACATGAACAACACTGCAGACATCAAGTTATCATGTTTTTGTTCGTACTACTCTAATGCTGTTGGCCGCAGGTGGCCTTTACAGCTTCACTGGACGATAGGGGGCGAGTGCAGATGGTACTCCAAACCAAAGGAAGGACTTATGGAGCGGCTGAAGACCAACGGCCTGACAGATACGACTTTAGTCTCAGGGCACCGCTAGGGGATCGAACCTAGGATTAGGCCGTCATAATTTCAGACCCCGTTTGAATTGGCCGGGGAATCGATCGGAGGGGTCATTATTATGTGTGTGATGATTAAATCAATGTATGAACGGTATCACACCCGTAGAGGGGAAGACTTACGTAAAGCAAATTAAAAATTGAAAAAACATTTAAAAAGAATTATGGAAGATGGGGGAACGAGGGAACTAGCAAAAGCTCCACCGACAAGAGCGTGGCTCTTAAATTATGAATGAATGAAGAAAAAGCATTCTAAATTTAGAATTTGCTGTGACTATGGAATGATACAAAATTGATGCTATTTGTAAATTCTCTTTAATTTCTGTTGATCATTTACTCCTTAGCTTTTTATAATGCCTAACATTCATATTATGATTATAAACAACAATAGACTAGATATCGTACATACAAACAAGTAAACAACTACGATTTAAAGTTTCTGGAACAATTCATTTAAGAAAATAAATGCAACAATGAAAATCTATTATGAATTTTATCATAATAGTTCCGTGATATATTTCACTGAATATCTCCGACATAATCTTCTAATTTGATAGAATGATAATAGTTAAAGTAGGTTTATAGGAGGTATTTGAAAGTAATGTTTTAATAAGTCCTGATTCCAACAATCAATGGCTCAGAAAATTGCTACAAACGAAAAAATCCATTACAAAATTTCTAATTATACTCTAACACTTATTATATTTTACATCAAATTACATACACCATTGTAAGGCACAATATGAGTAGAATATTCTCACTTACTACTTTAAAAAAATATGTAACATAGAGAGAGCAGGCTGAAAAGAATTTTCGTCCGTTCATTGACATCTTAAAAGTAAACTCCATAATTTCATAACCTTGATCACTTTTCCTAAATATCTCATAACTTGGAAGACTTTTTTGTGAGGTTTTCTATATTAAAAATTTATGTTTCTATAACTTGCTTAGAGAAATAAAAAAAATATGTAACTTCGATACAACGTGATATCATTTGGGAAAATTATTAAATTTGTAAATGAAATCATATTGCGTTTCCTACGTCCACAATTTTATACACCAATATCTAATTAAAAAAAAAAAACTAATAGCTATTAAATTTATTAAAAAGATCAGGTATTTTACCGAAGATTTTTATATTATCTGTTATATGTCAGAAATAATTAAATGTGTGGAACAAAAATTAATCCAAAAAAATACTCAACGTACCACATTTCATGCAATAAAATTTCATTTCATTTAGAAAGAAACTTTTTAGTTAGTGTATAAAAAATATTTTAAATACTCAATAAAATATCATCACATATTTGAGCCTAAATAAATTAGTGCTGGTCGGTAGTTCGTATTCACACGTTTCGACTTGTAAAATGTGAACTTACAAGGATTGTTTAAAAGAGCAACACACAAGTTTCTTGCTTATTCTTCTTGTGATGAGACAGTTTTTCGAATAAGCGGTAGATTTAAAAAAATGTTGACTATTCAAAACTGCTTAAATTAAGTTTATTTGAATAAATGATTTCTATTCTATTCTATTCTACTGCTGGACGTACGCCTCTCCCAAGGCACGCCACTGGGCAAGATCTTTAGTGTATAATTAATAACCTATGAAAATTTTTGACTAATAATCACATAGAAATTTTAAACTAATAAGATATGTGTCATCTTTTGGTCCCATCAGTCGATCATAATCTCGAGATGTGTGGAGCCCAGCCTCTCCTTCAAACTCTCCGTGTATTTAACGTTGCGGGCCCAGGCGCGGCATCGAATGTTTATAATCTGGTGTACTGCAAATAAAAAAAAATATAAAAATGGTGAAGTTATAAAATTACATATAAACACATACAAACAGTACTGTAACATTTTATTTTCGGACTACTCTAATGCTGTTGGCCGCAGCTGGCCATTACAGCTTCACCGGACGATAGGGGCGAGTGCAGATGGCACTCCAAACCAAAGGAAGGACTTATGGAGCGGTTGAAGGCAAACGGATACGACTTTAGTCTAAGAGCACCGCTAGGAGTTCTAACCTCGGCTTAGGCCGTCGTAATTTCTACCCCTAATTAAATTGGGATCGATCAGAGGGGACCTAATTAATGTTAATGTCTTGTGTTCTAGCGGTTTGTATACCGTCTTCTGATCCGGGTTTGATTCCTCCGTTTACATTACTACCTTTTACCCGCGGCTTCACTCGCATTGAATCTATTAAATAACTTCATTACTGGCTTCTAGATGGCGCTGATTTATAACTTCATTACTGGCTGCGAGATGGCGCTGATTTATAATTGATTTATAACTCCATTACTGGCTGCTAGATGGCGGTGAAGTAGCAATATGTAGATTTTTTGTTTTTTTATAAATTATATTTCTTTTTTCAAATAAAATTCTATCTTCATTCTAATACCAAGACTATGTGTAAAAATTTCATAATGATTGGTTCAGTAGTTTTTGCGTGGAAGCGTAACAAACATCTATACTTTCACATTTATAACATTAGTAAGGATGTGCAATTTACTTGCAATGAATTTGATACGAAATCATAGCATACTGGTAATAAAAAAACTATTTGTTAACTAATTAATTTAATTCATAGATGAATATAGGTGTACTCTATTGTACCACAGATAAGATAGTATTATATGTAATATTATGTTATCTGTGGTATTACTGTACTAATGTTCTGAGGTTTGAATGAGACATTCTAAGTAGCATATAAGATATAATGCAGATATATTAAGATGTAAAAATTTCCAAAATTAAATGTAAAATTTTAATCTTATATGTTCATACATGGCTTATTCAGGGAACTGTGTCTTATAGTAACTCAATAACTACGTTGAACTGTTGTTCTCCGAAGTCACAGTTTAATCAATGAATTTAAGACAATTAAAAACATACAAGTTGGTTTGAGAAGCTGCACTGCCACCAGGGGACTGAGGTAACCTGGCGTGTTGTCGTATGGGAAGAATGTCTCTGGCAGGCCAGGGTACGGCCAGTACTTCAAAGGACCCAAAGCGTCAATGTCAGCTGGACGCTCGCCCATACACGACACCCACACTTTACGACGCTGAAAACAAAAGATTGTTATTCTTAGAAATAGTCCGCAAGCCAGAGCCTAATTCGTCAATGATTGCCTCTCGCCCGAAAATTTCTAAAATGGTTGAGATCTTTGTATTATGAAATCTAGAGAAAAAGTCTGCTGCTATTGCGAGTGTGGGCCAAGGAGGAGAACAATCATATTTAACATTTTTTTTTTCTTTTATTTCGTGAACATTTTAAATTCAAATGTCTTTTACAAAAATAAATCTTATATACTACAACTTTAAAGTTCATTTCAGCTGAAGGAAGAATTATTTATTAGCGCCATTTCATATCTTTCTACCACGGCATCTAGTGAATACTGGACAAACTAAATCACCAGTTAAAAGAATTTCGGGGCACCAGTGGAGGATAATAAGATGGACATGAGGTCGGGTCAATAGGCCCATCGTGGTAAATTCACTGTGAATTTATTACGACGTTTTTCAGTGTAAGAAGCACTAATTATAATGACGACTTAGGCTTTGAAGCCGGCTACAGCAAGGGAAACCCCAAGTAGCGCCCGTGACTTGTGACACGGGTGTAGGTTTAAAAGGCCCTTTTAGAATGCATTAACACTCACCTTCACTACTTGCAGCTTTCCCCAGGCCCAACTAAGACTTGGATAAACCCATTGCTAATACAATTCACTTTAATATCCAAAACACAACTGGCACGCTCTGCGCTCGTCGACTGAATGCCGCGGCTCACGCAACGAAAGAGGATTATTCAACTACCAACCTCTGTTTTTATAGACCAAAGTCAGTGTAGTAGGTTGGTCTATAAATACTAGATGGCGCTATTTACAGTATTCGTAATAATCCTTACATTGGGTACTTCATTAGTACTAAAAACAAACTACCTTCTTTTAATATATTTTTAAAATATCGAATTTTTTCTACAATAAAGATGTGAATTCTAACACCAGGGAGAACCACATGGAGTGAACCATATAAGATACACTGCTAGCAATGGTGTTATTAGTACATTACTAACAATTCCCTTTCCCTTGAGGTCTAATATTATAAAAAAGTTTGTAATTAAATTGAATTTGAAATGACTGACGAAATTAAACTCTGGCTCGCAGACTAAGTGCTTGTTGGGTCAACTAATACATAATAATGAATATTTGTAGCTTGTGCATCTGATCACTCACTTGCTGTACTGTGGTGGTAGAGTTGATGTACGCCGTGATATCTGGAGGTATGTTAGGAGGCAGGTCCCCAGGGTCATCGTAGTAGTCCGGGTTCCAGTCGAATAACTGATGAACATAACATATACATCTATGGATAGCCTCAGTGGTCAATTGAGAATAACTAGCTAGAAACTCAATTGAATTACTTTTTTTTTCTAAAAGACAGTTTATATACAATGCATATATAAGTGTCTATATCTAACAATAAATGAAAATCCCGTGCATGAACAACTATTGCCATATAAAAAAATGGTAAGTACCCTATTCAACTTGATGATGATACACGGCGTCTTGGTGGAGTATCCATAATTGTTCTCCTTGGAGCAGGGCCCCAACAGCGAGGTGTTGAACGCGCACACTTCTTTCCTTGGGGGCTTCACCTCACCACACTCGCGCTGGTTCACACCCCCATTGATTAACAGAGACTTGTTCTCATAAGCTGAAAGTCAATAAATCTTCATTTAATAAAACTTACTATAATAATAATAGTACCCCTGGAAAATTCACATAATGTCACCTAATGTTAAAGTACTAGACAACTGATATAAAAACATTTTTTTCTGTAAATACATTCATAATCTTAATTTTATTAATATTATCACATATTATAAATGCGAAAGTTTGTAAATATTTGTTAAAAATGTTAGTTACTCTTGCACGCAAAAACTACTGAACGGATAATGATGAAACTATAGTAACATAACATATGGAGCAGAATAACACACAGGTTACATTTTTTTATTGAAACTTATATATTGAAATTTAAAGCGGGTTCAACCGCGAGCACAGCTAGTATAACTATATATAGAAAACACCCAGACCGATACAATCATACTCCTAAATGCAAATGTTTCTGTCATGCGAGGAATCGAATTTGTGACCATCGGATGTTATGGGGTTTGCAATACTACAAATCCATCAATGTCCTCACGTAACTGATTGAAAAAACTTGTAATTGATAGAAAATGAACACTGTTATTTCTTAAATCTATGTTAAATTCAAATTCAAATTCAAAATCATTTATTCATGTAGGACATTTTAGCCGCTTATGAACGTCAAGTTTTTACATTATAATTATTTTTCCCTACCGTCCAGTTCGGTATATAGATCCAATTGAGAAGAACTGGCAAGAAACTCAATTAAATAACTTTTTTTAAAGCCAGTTTATTTACAATGCATAGGTATTTATATAGGTGTCTATGTCTAACATTAAATGAAAATCCCGAACATGAAAACTATTGCCATGCACGCTCGTCATTCAAATAATCTTTAGTGAATCGGTTAGTTTTGAATTTATTTAAGGGTAATTCCAATATATCCTTTGGTATCTTATTGTAAAATTTTATACTTATTCCCATAAAAGACCTATTGACAAGTCGCAAGTTCGGCCGCACATGGAGTACTGCTCTCATCTTTGGGCAGGAGCACCTGGATACCAGCTCGGTCCTTTTGACTCGGTTCAGAGAAGTGCTATGAGACTTGTCGATGATCCCAATCTCTTTAACGGTATCGAACCACTTACCTTGATGCGAGACTTCGCATCGCTTTGTGTGTTCTACCGAATATACAACGGACTGTGTTCTGATGAATTGTTTGACATGATGCCTACGGCTACCTTTTACCATCGCACCGCTCGCTATCGACAGGGAATTCATCCCCACAAGCTGGAATCTAAGTTGTCTCGGACAGTGCGGTTTCAGAGGAGCTTCCTCCCGCGTACACTTAGATTGTGGAATGAACTACCTGCCGAGGTTTTCTCGAGAGACTACAGCATGGGGTTTTTCAAGAAGGGTATATTAAGGTTTCTTAAAATTCGGCAACGCGTATGTGACAGCCCTGGTATTTCAGGCATCTATCTATAGGCTACGGTAACCGTTTACCATCAGATGGGCTGTTAAAAAAAATTGACTTTTCTAAACGATACTTGATAAACGCAACTGTATGGATCGCAAACTTGTGCTAAAATTAAACACTATTACTTCCTACTCTAGGTCTGATAAACTATCAAAAAATTTAATTACTCACGTGCTAGAAAAGCGTTGATATTGTCCACATATTTCTTGACTTGCGTGGCGTTGTCTGCTTTATACCAGATCAGAGCGCCCTCCTCGAACACCAACGGTCTGTGTCCCATGCCAGGATTGTCACCTGAAACGTTTACTATTACGTTTAAGTTATTCTACTTTTGACAAGATTGTTATTTGGCAGTTTGTATTTACACTAATGTCTTCCTGTTCTTTCTCTTATTCTCCATCTTCCTGTTCTTCTTCTTCTTCTAGTTCTTCTCCTGTTCTTCTTCAGTCGTTCGTTATAGTTGTTATTTGTTGTTGTGTTATTATACTGTTTTACTTCCGATAATGCTTGCACTTCCTTGTTGCCAGACAAACAAACAGAAATGTGCCTTTTCGCCTTTTCCCAACAAAATATTTAAATTACTTTAATGGAATTTGACGTGATAACAAATTTTATCACTATATATTATAATTTATCTTAATAAGCAATAAAAGTCGAGGGTAACTGGTAGAACACAAATAAATACTACTGTGCTCACCTATAATAGAGTCAGCTAGCGTGAAGTACGGAATCCGTTCATCCATGGTGGCCAGGAGACCACACATGCAGATGGAGAAGAAAATAATGATGCAGATGTACATCACCAGATAGATCAGCCCGATGACTCCTGGAAAAGAATATATTTCAAAATATCAGTTATGAATATTTTTTTTATATAATTAACTAGCTGTACTCGCAACTTCGGCCGCATTGAATTTACCTTTATATTTCTAAATTAATAGAATTTTTCTAAAATAAAAGTAGCCTAAGTTACTCTTTATTACATCAGCTACCTGCCAATAAAAGTCCCGTCAAAATCGGTCCAGCCATTTCAGAGATTAGCTAGAACAAACAGATAGACAGACAAAAATTGTAAAAAATGTTATTTTGATGTACCGTATTTATATTCATATGCATGTCGGAAAAAACGGTTATTTCAATATTACAAACAGACACTCCAATTTTATTTATTTGTATAGATGTATAGATATGTCAAACAAACTGATAGCCCACGTGATTCTAATTAATTTAGTTCGTATCTTCCATCTATCTATACCAATATTATAATATAAAGAGGAAAAGGTTGTATGTTCGTTTGGAGTAATATCCGATCTGCTGATCCGAATTTCTTCTTTCTTCCAAAAGTTTTCGCTGTTATATTATCTCCGAATGATATAATAATAATAATAATCTCAAGACAATTCACACAGCGCCATCTAGACCCAAGTTGAGCTAGCTAAAGCTTGTGTTATGGGTACTAGATAACTGATACAAATACATAGATTTTTTTTCGTAAATACATACATGTTATACGTATTGAAAACACCCAGACTGATACAAACAATCATATTCATGAATACAAATGTTTGTACCGTGCGAGGAATCGAACCCGCGACCATCGGACGTAAAGATGTGTGACCGCTAGACCGATTTTATTATATAAAACTATTATGAAACCGACTGACGTACCTAGTTCATTGTTTATTTACTTATTTACCCTGCGTACCTGTTGCTATAGTGTCATAAACAAATAACGATAGTAATATCACAGATAATATAATATTACATACAGATACCCCATCCCATACAAGAAAATGGTTCCTTCCTAACTCGGGCTATTCTTCGGGCTATTTTATTTCGCCGCCGTAGGCGCTAGATGTCGCTATATCTGAAGCAGTTCGGATTACTAGTGGGTGATTAGTAATAAAGCATGAAAATAGATGGCAGAGAATTCGGTCTACATGACATCTGTTTTGCAAAGATACGTACATAATAGATATATAACTGTATCGAACTCCTGATTGGGTACAATCGAAAATTCAATGTAGGTATAATATTGTTCGCTGACAGTCTACAGACACGGCTAATGTACCTATGTATCTATGTACTATGTTACAGTTACTTTTTTACATGCCTACTTTATTTTCTCCCGACGAAGATATGTCGTAACGCGTCTGCACTAAAATCGGGCTATCGGTTAAGGAGCAATAGCTCCTTAACGAATAGCCCGATTTTAATACGGTTTTTTTTATTTAAATTGTTATGTGATAGTGATAGATTTTAGCTATAATCAATTAATGTGCATATGGGTACCTCATATAATTTTCAGTATATAATTATTTCTCAATATGTAGTTAATTACGGTAAACTGGCAATTTGTAAAACTGAAAATAATATCTTCAAACCATCAATCTGTTATATGTAGGTTCTTTCAGGGATACTACATCGGTGCTAATGACATGTAGGTACTTATTTTGATGTTATACCTATTTGTAGAACCTTCGATATCTACAAACTACGCCTTTACTGCTAGTTTTTTGGTATTTATGTAAGTTGTTATTCAGTTGAAATTAAGCTGCGAAATTACAGGATATTTGGACATAACATCTATGTTCTCCGGAATGATAACGTATGCGGGATATAGCGGGCACGACATGATGACGTAATGCTGTTTAATAATATATACGTAATATTATGTACGTCGGATAGCGTCGTGGTTGGATGGATCGTCAGCTTATTTACCATTTCAGTTAATAATAGTAGGTAGTAACTTTTGACAATATGGATGAAGGTAGAAGGTAACGGTGATGATGATGAGATCAATAATGACTGTTGACGATAGTGACGGTGGTATTTATATTTATGACCACCATAAAATTCATCATTGGCAGTATTCTCAACATTATCATCATTGTTCATCATGATGATTGAGATCAAATTAATTAATTGATAAAAAAAGTATCAAGTATTAGGTAGGTACTAAGTCCTTATATGACTTAAATACAAGGTTCTGGGATGCTGTGATATACTACAGTCTCTAGATTTTGTTTCTTATTAGTACTCCACAACCAAAGTCTATAGACAGAGAAATATAGATTTACACAAAGTTTTTTGATGTAAATGGGAATTATTATACACATTGCATTAAAAAATATATATGATTACCATCTAATACAAAATCATTATGTAGTAAATAATTCCTGACATTTTAAATCGAATGAGGTGAAACTAACATTGCATGAACACAACACTTGAAGATCATAATTTTTATTTCAGGTAATAAAACACTTTTAAATAATTTATTAATCACAGAATAAACAATTGTTAATAATTTACAATAATATTTCTTTCACTGCTTGTCTGTTATACCACTAAAACTTCAAACACTTCTGTTATTTTTATATTATATTCCAAATAAATCAATATCAAGACATAATATTTCATCAAAATCATTTCATAATTAATTCCTGGTACACAAAATATTCCTGGATTTGTTGATGAAGCAATATAATAATAATCATGAGCTTAAATCATAAACTTATTTGCAGTCGGTTACACATAATTACTTGGAATTTCTTCTCATCACTAGTCCGTTGCTTTCTTACTTATTTAATTATATTATTAATTGCATTGTGATTAATAATTTACAGATTTTTCTTCTGCTTTTTTCTCTTATTTTTACTTGCATTATTATTTTATACAGTAAAATGTTCATATATATATTGTGATGACAGGAGCGGTGGTGAGAGTAAACACACACAGTAGGGTGTAACTTGTATATTTAACTGTTACATCTTGAATACTCTAGCTTACACTAATTACATAAACTATATATATGAGGTACTGCGTGACCTACGTGTCGTTATACAAAACGTACACTCGCACAATCTTTTACTGAACGTGCTGATTTGCATCACTATACCACACCTCCCCTGAAAAGTAGGGTGTCTATGGTGAGGGTGTCCCCTCCCTCTGAAAGTTTAACATTACAAGGACAATTTTATTATTTAAACATACAAAAAGACAAAAAAAAACAGCACTAAGGATTAATTTAACTCAACAATTTCTCAAGGTATATCATACCTGAGTACAAAAAAAAATACAAACTTTTATAATTACATTGTTTTGTTAATACATATTTGTCATCACCAAAGATCAGATCTTGTTTTATACTAAACAAGTAGTAACCAAAAATTAAAATTAGGCCTTTACTCTATAACAATATTAAGAAATTTTATGCTTCACATTATTGGCCAATGTGACAATGCTCACTTCATTATCTGTACTTATTGACTTATTATACTTATCTATACATTTTACAGTATACCTACATAATCGTAAAAACTCATCATACTTCTGTATATACCGACAGAACTTATTAACTTGAGACTTATTGTACATATTTTTAATAATTATAACTTCCATAATATTATGATCCTTGCATATCTCTACAAGTTCTCTTAATGATTCATCTACGCCCACCTTTGTTAATAGAGACGTTTGATTTAAATATATTATAGATCCAGATAGAACTACATTGCACGCATTATCATGCATATTATGCATACCTAACACTTTTCCTAATGTCTCCTTATTACAAATATTTAATTTCACACGAAACTGTGATTTTCTAGTAATTCCTGCCATCTTTGATGGACTAGATTTCACTTTCACTTGAGAACATTTATTAATTTTCTTAATTGGACCTTGCGTAATAACGCCTGAACAGCATGAGTTTAATTTTTTTAACTCATCGGACGTTACAGTTATTTTCGATAATTCGTCCGCTGTTCTATTTTTCAAACAATTTACATTTCTCTCCATATAGTCAGTTTTCCTTTTATTAGGAAAAGTAACATATTTTATACCATTTTCTCTTTTTTGAAAAGGTATACGAACCCTATCAAGTGATCCGTGGGGCTTTACACTTAAACAGCCCAATTCAAAATTTATGATACCTTTAAATTGTATCAAAAAATCTTCTCCTAATATACCATGGGAACTGCACTGTATTTCTTTAAATACATAAAACTTTTGTCTATTTTGCAGTTTCTGAAATAAAAGATTCAAGATTACCACAAACGCCCTTTATTATAGCGTTATTTTTGTGGATCTTATTTAAAGGCAAATTTTTTAACTAATCATACTTTAAAACTGACATTGACGCTCCTGAGTCTGCTATCAAAAATATATCATTATTAAAACAATTAAATTTAACTACATTATTTGTGTTAAAAGCTAAAATTTCGGTATTCTTATTTTCATGAACAAAATCTAACGATGTCTTTCTATCGCTATTCCTACTATCAGCTGACGCTTTGACGTAATTCATATGCTTACTATAACAAACTGCGCGACCTTCTTTACTATGCATTTTTGTATTTTGCTGACTACGCGCCTTAGTATTATTACGCTTCACTTGACATTGATTTGTTCTGCGATCAAATTCTCGTGCGTCATAATTTATTTTATTTATTAAACACGTTTGGAAGTTCTTAGGAATAAATTCCTCCTCTTCTATTGCTGATCTGACAGCTTCTTGTAAATTTGATATTTTTCGACATATTATGTACATTGTCAACCTACTATCGTTTAGCCCGTATGCAAATTGCCTAATTGCAATATTCTCATTTATGGGCAATAAGATATCATACGCGGTGTTCAAACCCCCCGCTTGGGCAATTGTTAATTCAACAAACAACCTTTCAATTTCATCCCCAAACTCTAAAATTGTTCTATTACCCTGCCTACATTTGTAGTTGTGTTAAAATGAATGTATACGATTTACTTGGTAATAAAATTTTTCTTATATCCTCTGTTAAATTATTAATATTATCGTAGTTTGAT